CAACCAACATACCATAATTAGGAGGCACATGGCATCGCAGGGATGATTAGCCTGTGATGAGCGTACACTGCCTAGAGTTGCCTTGTTACTATTATAAATAGATTAGAAATCCAGGGAGCATCTGTAGTTTCCCCCCATGGAGGAGAATCTGAAATTGACAGGATGAAATGAGAACACCTCGAGTAGAGCTTGATAACTGACAAAGATTAACTTGATTTCTGAGGCTCCAGCTCCCCTATCTTTTCACCTGGAAGGTGAAAGGAAGGTGCCCTTCCCTTGCAACTTTCCAGCTGCCTGTGGAAGGAACGTAGCAGTTCTATAATTGAACCATTGAAAGGACAGTGCAGGAACACCACACTTGTGCCCAAGGACCGGGTATGTTTTTGATGGGGACAATGGTGTGTCTCCAAGGCAATTTTACCTAGAAATCAAAAAACCCAGAATGGTGACCAGAAGAAGACAATCTTGTCTTCTCTCTGTTTACTGCTGCAGGAGCCTCACTTCTCTTCTGAACCACCTGGTTGGACAGACTGTTCATTGTAGCCATTTCTTAGGGTATCAACAGCAGTAATGCATTGTAAGAGTAAGCAACAAAAGAATCTATATTGTAAATAGAGTCTCCAGGCTCCAGGGAAGAGAGGCAGGAAATTCTTGGTAGTAAGAAATCCCTGGAGTCCAGCAGCCTTCTACAACAGGGATATTTTGGACATAGACACTTGAGTTAAATAAATCTCTATTCTTTGGGGACTCCAGAACAAGTTAACTCTGGGCCACCTCTTTTTGGCTCATTTCTAAGAGTTGCAAACAGAGTTATTTCCCAGTGACTAAGCTATAATGACAGATGGCATGTGTGCTGTCACTGTCTATTTCCTTGTCTTTGACAGTTTTGTGAAGAATCCACATCCTTGCATATGCTCCCTGGAACAGCTGTCCTTGCACTGTGACCAAGCTGAAGGCATTCTGGAACCACGGCATCAGCACTGCTGAGGGTCTCCAAGATGCCTTTCTACAGTTGATTTACCTCACTGTTTTCCAGTGTCTGTAGATACAGGATCCCAAGTCAGGGACCCTTGAGAAGGATATGAAGGACCCCAGGACATGGGACTGGCCATGTTATCACAAAACTATTGCATGAGAACACAGTGTAGATAAGAGGCCAGTTACGTCATAAATGCCTGAGTTCAGCCATGGGAGCAAACAAGGCAAACCATTTCTGCCCAGGCATTAGCACAGGCTGTCTTTAAGGCACCTCCACGTGGAATGCTTAGGACCCAGGGCTTCCAGTATGTACAATTTCACACAGTCCTGGCAGCATTAGTGAGCATGACCTGTCTTTACAGGCTAAGCAAAATCAGATCCATAACAATAAGAAAAAGAAGGAATAAAAGAACTGACTTTGGAATCAGTGTGTCAGAAGCACATTTTGATCAAAATTTTCTTCCAAAGAGAGCCGGCCTGTCCCTCCAGGTAACTCTGCCCTTTCCTCCTCAGGATATAGCCTCAGGTGAGGCATTACTTTCTCGCTTGAGGCCAGTTATTGTGCTGCATGGACCAAGGCCCAGTGCCACAGACAACAGGGTCTCACAGCCAACTCATTAACTATGTTTACCAATGGTGTCTAGTTTAATCTGAGTCCAATGCTGGAAAGTAGAGGCCATTATCTGCAATTTATAAAAAGGAAATTTGGTCCCAATTATATGATTTTATCCCCTCTAGGATTCAGATTATTAAAAAGCAACAGGCCTAGGTTTTCTTGGTATTTTGCATGCAAAGTAAACTCTGGCTGAGCTTTTTGTTTTGTTGTTGCTGTTTTTTAGCATCTTCCATCTTTTGCTTTCTTAATGAACCTGTATCTTATCATGATGCATGGTCTGAAAACATAAGGAAAGAGCATATTAAAGGCCATTCTGCTACTGTGAAAGAAAAGGTAACTGAAGTCACTTTAAGGAACACCATGATACAGTGAAACGTTGCAAGTCTTCGCTGGGCTGTGGCTGGTGCTGTTTGGCAGTCCTGGTGGAGGGGACCGAGTTTGGCTGGAGCTGGTGTGTGTCCAGTGAGGTGTCTCCCTGCATGCGTAATCTGCCTTCTTCCCTCTGAATGAGCAACAGCTCCCTGCTGAGAAGCGTGACTCTCATCGGGATCAGCAGATTGATTAACTGCAGGAGCTCAACAAGCTGAGGAATAAGCATAGACAACAAAGATGTATTCCAAACCTTTCTGGTAAGTAATGATGTGAGCCACATGGTCAGAGCCATCCGACTCTCTAATAACTTGGTGATCATAGTTCCATTGTTTTCACATTGTTAAGGAGGTGTGTGGTAGGAAAAGCTGGCTCTTATTTTAAAGACATGATTTCTTTTTTTTTTTTTTTTTTTTTTTTTTCTTTTTCTTTTTATCGGTACCAGGGATCGAACTCATGACCGCCTGCTTGCAAGGCAGGTGCTTATGCCACTGAGCTAAATCCCCAGCCCCTAAAGACATGATTTCTATGTGTAGCTCTGGGGTGATTTTACCGCGCAATGGTAAAAAGTCACATTGTTCTCTGGGTTTTATTTGTGCATCTACAGAGGGGCGTTCTTCTGTTCCTATCCATACTACCAAGTTCTTGGAAATTTTGGAACTGATATTTTGCTTTTCACATCTCTGGAAATCAAAATAAGCTAGAAAGGCAGGCCACAGATATTTTTCCTTTCCTTTCTGGTTTACACACTCTGTATACTTTCTAAGGTCCTCAATTAGCAAATTGTTTGGATGACTCTCAAAACTGCAGCTTTTGCTCAGGTGAACAAATGAACAACCAAGAAGCTCCTCTCGCCTCCATAGATTAAGGTGCCTGTATCATGGTAACAAGAGTCAGAAGAGGCAACTATACCTAGTTCCTGTTCCTGAGCTATTTTAGTGGCAGATAAAGCAGTTGTTCTTAAGTTTCCACACATGAGAATCCTGGGAGAAAGTGCTTAGGGAGGGACAGCTGGACTCCAGCCGTAGAGTGTTATCGCAGCCTCGGTTTCTTGGTTTACCTTTGCCTCAAGAAGACAACTCTGATCCAATTAGCCGCCTCATCCCTGAGAACCCTACACAGAAACAGCTGCAGGGTCCTCTGCCTTTGCCTCCACCTGTAACTAAGAAATCTAGACTTGCAAACACTGGTAGACACAGAGTGCAGATTCTTAGCCATGTTTTGGCTCAAATGACCCAACTGATTCATATTATTTTATTTTGCTTTCATTTTTCTTGGTCTGGTGGAGAAATTTTGCCAACCTAAAGATAAAATTAACATGAGAAGAACCCAAAACCCATAGGGAAGCAAAAACTTACACATATAAAAAATTCACTATTGCCTTGAGATAAGGAGTATTAGACACTTTACATTACTTGGGAAGCTCTCATTAAAATAAAATAAAAATTCACTGAAGAAGTATAGGCACTTTAAATTATGAATCATTAGGCCTTCCAAAATCACTACCTTTAGAACTATCTAAGCAGCATTCTCAATATTTGAGGAAGGAAATTATGCAACATAAAAATTTGAAAAGGTGAAGACATGAAAAGTTATACCAATAGTCACACATCATTTCTAAATAAAATTCTACATCAAAAGAAAACTGCCTTTGTTTAATCTTTTATCTTCAATTTGAGCCCAGAAAACATGAGGCTAGGATACTTAGCTAATTTCAAAAACACGTAAGCAAATTTTTGATGAATGCTTATGGTTTCTTACCTTTCTGGGATCCATGGAAATGTATCATATATTTTAAGTACAAAAAGACCAAACCCATCCAATCATAACTCTTGTTCTGAGTATGCTGTTAACATTCCTTTATTTGTCCAATGTGGAAAAAAGCCACCCACTCAGCAAAGTACCAAAGGAAGAGATCTGTTGGTGCTTAATGCTTCAAACAGCAGGAAGAAGGAAAAAGGGGAAACCTATGCCATGATTTATCTCCTACATACATTTCTCCTGCTTACATCTTTAGGACCTGAGTTGGAGCACCTCAGCCACTCCCTGGAAACTGGTTTTAATGTTAAACTTAAAAATTATCCCCAAATTCTCATGCGTGTAGAGGAACTTTTAGAAAGTGATTGGATCACAGTGTGGCAACACTCAGCAGTGAGTTAATCCAGTAAGGGAGAATGTAGAGCCTGATTGGAGGGGTGGATATGGGAGCAAGACCTGGAAGAGTGTGTACTTTTGCCAGGATATCCACCATGTCATTTTTGCCCTGGAGTCTGCAGACCATGGGCTGATCCTCCTAAAACCATGAGCCATTAAACCTCTCCTTCCTTAAATTGTGGCTGTCAGGTATTTGATTCCAATGATAAGAAAGTGATTAATAGACTGATATCAGATTCAAAGGCACTGTACTTGCTAAGACTTCTCAGCAGTCCGGGCCATGCGCATTTGGATCACAAACCTGGATATAGGTTCAAGGAGGACATCTAAGGAAAGCTCCCCTTGGGTCTTTCATATGAAATGAACAGATGTAGTAAATTAGATTTTCATTCTTGTTTACTCATGTTCTCCCTATATTAGGAATGTTATTCATCCCTTTTGTTGTGATTTAGTATCGCCTTCTACCAGAGAAGGAAGAGTCCATTTTCTCCAGTCACTGATGTTGACTTGGCCATGGGAGTTTTTACAGCGAATAGATTAGGAAATGAAGGTGAATAGAATGACCACTTTAAATGAAGGGGTTCAAGGCAGACTGTTCTGCTGGCCTCACTTGGAATTCTGGAATACATTTCCATGTAGTTGCTGGTTGAAGATTGATGAGTCATGGGGCACCTCAGACTATTCAAAGCCTGCATCCATGCAGACGAGCCCAGTGGAGCCTGGCTCACTACAGTTGAATGCACGCAACCCGAACACTCATGAGCCAGGTAAACAGTGGTTGTTGGAAGCCATTCCTACTCCTACATGTAGCATTTTTGCAGGCATATTTGATGGATACAACAGGTAAAGAAAACTACACAAAGAGAAAGCTCAGTCAAATATGTAGGTTTGATGTACAAAAATACATTTATTTTCAACAATTTCAAAACCACTGTCTTTTTTTACAGTAGAAATATTCAAATGGAACAATAAAACCAAGAACAGTATATGTACATATACTGTATATATAGATATGACTCATGCATTTGTATTCCAGTGTTTAGTACAAGTATTGCAACTGTCTGCTCCATTTAACCCTTGCAAGAAAAACAGCAGGATTTGCTAGAAATACTCTTGATACTGAGCTATGCTGTCGCTAGCCAGCTGTCTCCCTGCCACATTCTCCCTTTGTCTCACAGAGGAATGCCAGTGACATCCCACAGAATTTAACACGTACCAAGTGTGGTCTTTCCTCCCAAACACACACACATATATATACACAAGATACCGTTCTTTAAAACAAGTGTGATCAGGCAGACCTTGGAAATAAAAGCAATGTTCACTGTGTGGGCTTAAGTATCTCTACTGAAAAGAACGGTATGCTAAATATGGGAAGGGGCTGAGGTGACAGAAAAGCAAGTATCGGTTTGGAAAGCCACTTACCCCAGAGGCAGTAGCCACCTTAAGGGAACCAAAGGCAGACATTTGACTTTAAGGAAGTTGTGTACATCTGACAGGCAAATAGCACAGCTTTGCTAAAATTGTCTTTGACTAATATCAGGAAAGGCTAGACCTCCCTTCGGCCTGAATGGTTTGTGTAGACTCGTGATTCCACAAATGCCACCTTCCTTGCGAACTCTCTACTTCCTCTCATGCCCAGTGATACTGCCTGGGCCTGAACCTTGCACTCAGAAGACCTTCTGAGTCTAGGGAAGCATTTGCCATGAGCATTTACATCTCCATGTCTTTAGATCCACTGCCTGGTTTCTTAGAGTAAAAGAATTTTTTTCAGTCTAATATTCTCAAATTCTTCTCTTAGGACGGAATCCTCACCCTGCAATGTGGGATGTGGGTTGCAGTTTGAAATGTGTAGTTCTGGCCCTCATCTCGCAACTTTCTGCATGCCACTGTTGGGAAAAAACAAAAACAAAAACAAAAACCACGGCTCCCAGGTACTATGATGTCGCTTCCTTCCTTTATCAACTGCCCCGAAGGAGCCCCTCCCCCTTCCCATTACACACAGAGCGGAAACCAGCTATGGCGTGGATGTGGAGATGCGATGCAGTAGTTAAATGTAACAGACAGCTGGCAGGTGTCCACAGCTCAACACATCAAGCAGGCCTGGAGGTGGGTCAGCTCGGAGGGTGAGTGCATAAGCCAACACACGCATTGTTCTTTTTTCTGTTTCCTTTTTACTAAACATTAAATTATTTCTTAGGAAATAAAAAGCTATTTACATTGGAGTTATATACAATAAGCCATCTGCAGCCTCACTGTGGCCATGCAGGAGGCAGGGCCTCTTTTGTAAGGTGTGCGGGCTCTCTGCCACCGTGCCCACTCCCACTGCCCACCTCCAGCAGCTCTCACTGGGAAATGGGACACGTGGTTTGCATGTGTGCTGGGGGCAGGGTAGGGGAGTGGTGATGATTTGAGTGTGGGTTTGGAGGGTTAGGAGTTAACAAAACATCAACCCAATTTAAAAATGAGAAAAAGCGAGAGAAAGAGAGAGAGAGATGAAAGAGAAAGAGAAAGAGAAAGAGAGAGAAAGAGAAAGAGAGAGAAAGAAAGAGAGAGAGAGAGAACAGGAAAAGGTCAGTCTTTACACTCCCATTGGCAGAATAAAGTAAGGAGGCTATGGGAAGATGCATCCTTTGCTCTTAGCACAAATATAGACATTTATTCCTTTCATCTCATTTGAATCAGCTAAGAATGCCCCTTTTCTCCCAAAGCCAAGTATCTGCCTGCTATTTATAAGGGGACCCTTGGTAAACAAAAGGTAAAAAAGACATTTTTATTTTTCCATTATAATAATAATAGAAGTCATCAAAAATAAAACGTCAGAAAGGTGGTTGAGCACGTGGCTTGTGGCTGTTACACACTAGTGCAGTTGGGGATCTCCTTTGTGCTTTCACTGTTCGCAATGGTGGCAATGCCTCCTGCAGGGGAGAGAAGACACAGAGAAGAAAGGGTTCATGGTTCAGTTCCATGAGGGTGGGGACTCCTGTCTCATGCAGTCTACCTACCAAGCCCCCTACAGCACATGCTTACAAGGCTGCTGGATATTCTGTCAGCTCGCTGGCTCAGCTCACGCATGTTAGACACATGCCATCCCTCACAATAGTGTACAGGCAGAACCAGTACAGTGCACAGTCACTTTTGTTGAGACAGGGTCTCACTATGCAGTCCAGGATGGCCTTGAACTCACAGGGATCCTCCTTCTTTAGCCTCCTGATTGCTGGGATTAGGGATGTGTGCCACCACACCTGCCTTGGACTGTTCTTTACAGATACCAACAGCAAGAAGTGTCATTGTCCTAAAGACACAGTGACATTTAATTATCACAGCAGCGTTAGAATGAATTCTCAGATGCTGTAAGGGAATCGCATTGGCTCCTAGTCCTATTCCTCCCATTTCACAGTTGAGGAATATGTGACAGGAAGAGGTCACAGAGCTACCAGGATGACAGAGCCAGGCTACCTGATGTCAGATCCTGATTTCATAGGGGTACTAACAAGGACACATAAGCCTTTGCTTTACAGAAATGAAAGAAAACAGTCACAAGCAAAGGATGGTTACCTTCGTCCTCCCCCACTACAACCGCAGTGCTTTCAATCTTGGTCAAGTTCTAAAGGAGAAACATCCTGGCCATCCCCTAGCCTTCCAGGTCAGTACTCTCTGGGGGACACTTGATGCCAGATGCTAAGTGGATAGATATTGGGAGCACAGAGGGCTGGGAAGTTTGGGGGCCCAGGCATGCATACCTATGACCCGGGTGTCCAGCTCTTTGTCCATCAGTTCTTCAGGCTCTGTGAAGTCGCTGAGTGTGATTTTGGGGGCATTTTCACTTTGGCTCACGGACCCAATCATCTCCTGCTCCTTGTCATGTTGGACCTGAGCATAGATGTTAATCCAGGGAATTTTCCTATGTGAGCAAGAACATAACCAGAATAAGATCACCAAACATGCCGAATTGGAGCAAAGGGAAATCAGAGTTATTAACAAGAAAAGCTGATGTCAGGGAGGAGGACTGGTTGTCCAAAGATACTGGCCATGAGGCCAAGGATACAAGACTGGTTAGAGACCCAGAAGCCCGAGGAAGGGGTGAGCCACAGGACTCACTGAGATCACATCATTCCCTGGGGTAAAAAGTAAGCAACTATTAACAAAAGTGCAAAAGTGTTCACTAAAGCCCTGAAAATATGTACGTATTACTAAGCTTCTAAAGGAGTTGCACTTTGAAGCATAAGATTATACATGGTGAAAAGACCACTTTTTCTGAGCTTGCATGAATTTAATCAAGTTACACTGGGGCTTCTTTTACACATACCCAATATACACCAGACTCGAAGCCATTATTAAAATTTTCAGTGTAAAATATTGGGCCAGCTTCTGTCAATACATTAGTCAGTTTCCTCTTTTGTTTAATGAGGATGGTGGCTGCTTCCTTTCATGACTGTGGAGTGGTTAGGAGAAGGAGCTAATGACACACAAATTGTAGGCTGGGGGCCAAAGGCAGAGAATCTTGGGGGATTAGAGTGCAGTCCTCCAAGGCAGTCCTTTCCTCGTTCATCTCTGCTATCTCCTGACACACCACGGCCCAGAAGCTTCCTCTCCCTCTGGACACAAAGCAAGCTCCGTGTTTTCTGTCTTCACTGCTGTTACACTTGAACTAGCACAATTCTCAGCGTGTGGTTTGTACTTCTTATGTATTTGTTGAATAAATGATTCGAAGCCTGTGCTCTTTCCATTTTCTTAAACTATAATCTCCAATAAAACAATTCCATTTTTATCTTGGAATATCCCATCCAGAAGATACTCTTCTCACCTCATCAGATGATGCGGAAATTGGACTAAAGTCCAGGCACTTCACAAGGCCAATGATAGCAAAGGTACCATTCATGCACCCGGCTCCTGACACCAACCCCAACTCATATCACATACATTTCTGAAGAAGCATCTCTCTTGTACTAGACAGTGGTATTTTCAAATTTCTACCTTCCCTTCCCAACTCAAAAACCCAATGAAGCCAAATGTGTGAGCATTTAATAAAGCTAACTCTGAAATGAAAACTCCAAAAATATATCTGAAACTTGAGTAGTCTACTTTTCCTTTAAGTTCATTTCCCATGCCTTTGATATTTGTTTCCCATACATGAAGGGATGTACTCCTCATGACTTCTACTAGTGTAAACCAGTTTAATATAACTTACTGAGCCTTAAATGAGACGATGTATGTGTGGCAGCAAAGGGAAGTCTCTATAAATGATCAGAATTAAACATGCATGCTGGTCCTTTCTGTCTTCTAATCTAAATAGTAATGCAGCCTGATGGTGTAGATTCTCTCTAATCATGAAAGTGGATATTCCTCACTAATGCTGAGATCAACTGTAACATTTACTAGGAACAGGAAGCTGTTAAAGCCTGTGGTCACACAGGCTGTGTGCTTCAGAGTTGCAACCAGTTCACTGCCTTCCCTGCCTGCTTGGCCAAAGAAACCTAGGAAGGTTTAGCAGAATCAGCCCTTACTCTGGTTGCTCACTTTATTTCAGTCTCTTAAAAACACATCTCAAAATAGGCACGTTTTCATCCTTTTTGAATAGGTGTTTGGAAGGGACTGAATTTCCTATAGAATTTGCAGCATTATAAAAGCTGTCAAATTGCTTTCCATTTGTCATGGTTTATGTCTGTGGCCACCAAGCTTCATGAATTATTGACTCGACCAAATCTAGCATTTGTGATTGGTTCATTGTCTAGCACTGGGATGGGTGGTTGTGAGTGCTACACCCGCCTAGGGGTGGAGCCAGCATACAATGTAATGGTGAGAAGGAGTGTCTCTTTCTGGGTTCATGTCTTGCATTTATAGCTCTGCCTTGCCATGCTGCCTTCTAGCCAACTGAGTGTGGACTGAAATCTCCAAGAACTGTAAGAAATAAACCTTTCCTTCCTTAACTTTGGGCGTCAGGTATTTTGTCTCAGCGATTGAGTAAAAAGTAACTAAGACACCATTTCTTAACACACCTATTTGTGTGACATTTGTGGATACAAGTTAGGTCAAAACTCCACTTTTACATAAAGAAATCAAGAGCTATGTCATGGGCCATATATTCATGCAGGTTTAAATACAGGAGAAAAAAGCAACAACAACAACAACAACAACAAAAAACAAAACAAAACAACAACAAAAAAAACTGAACAGCGGCAGTTTTTTTGTTTTGTTTTGTTTTTCTTTTTATCAGTACCGGGGATCAAACTCACGCCCGCCTCCCTGCAAGGCAGGTACTTTGCCGCTGAGCTAAATCCCAGCCCCACAGCTGCAGTTTATATTCATTTGCTCCAGCTATGAAAAGTGTGAGAAGACAGAAAGCAAAGCAGGCTTTAAACTACAAGGAAATTCCTACTGTAAAAAAAGAGACAGGAGGAACAGAAAAGCTCGAATGTTTTCTGCTCCCCAGAAAAAGGGGATCAGCAGAAAGCAAGTCTTGCTAGGCAGTTTTCAGCCAACAAAAGCCACCTCATGATGATTTTAATTACGTTGTCAGGAAGAGAGGACAACAGCTACTACTGAAGAGCAGAACGGAAGCCCAGAGGCAGGGTGACATTTACTTGAGGGAGGTTTGGGAATGACCGTGGCTCTTCTGAGAGACCACTTGGGACAAGTAGGTGGTTTCCGGAGTCTGGTATGTAGTTGGCACTCAATAAATGTTTGCTGAATGAATGTTCATGTTTGTTGCTACTGGTGATTACTGAGAGGAAGCTTTGATTCTGGAAACTCAGTGTAGCCAGTGATCTGAGATGGAAACATAACCGCCCTTCACCTGGACCAGTGGTGGCACATGTGCTGGTTTTAACTTCAGACAAAAGACACTAATATATGTATAGTTTTTCTAAATGGAAACCTCCATATTCTGGTTTAACTGCAGTGTTGGCCTCTGTGACAAATAAGTGGAACCGGATATAGTCTCTAAAAGGTTCACCATCACTGACCTGGACCACGCTACAAAGCAGTGTTTTCTGTTCAGGCACACCTGCTTAAGTTTTAAATAATGAAACTCAAAATCAAAAATTGTTTCCTGGTCATACCAGTGGCTGCATATTAGAACAGGTGATAGAGCCTTTTCATCATCGCAGAAAGTTGTATGGGACACTAAAGAAAGAAACAAAACCTGCTCGGTAATGAGCCCTTTACTTGTATGCAAGCTAGAAAACCTCAGTATGGCCCATTGCAATTCTACAGAATGTGGAGGAAAAAGACCAATGGGAAAAAAGAAAATGCAAAATAATCTCAACAGAATGTCTTGAGCATTGGAGGACAACTTTCTAAAAAGGGATGTGGCTTAAAAAGTAAAGTTTAACAGATGACCTGTTACTTGTGACTGACATTGTTTCCTGTGGCCTGAGCTATGCAATCTGCTCTTGGAGGTATAGAAAGAGCTGGCTGATAAATGGGAGCTTCCTAGGTATACCAGTTCAGTGATGTCATTGCCTGGTATGGAATCATGTGCTAAAGTGAACATATTAGAGGGGCCTAGAGTGATGAATGGGTTGTCTAGGGAGTTTAGCAGCATTTATAGAAGAGAAGAAATTTTGTGAGCCATGGGGTAATCACGTTTGCATTGGGAGATGCATGACAGATCTAAATGCTGCTTTGTAGGAATTCCATTGGCCTCTGTCCTCACCAACCATGAAGGGCTCAGTGCTAGAGACAATCACTTGGTTCGAGCTGATCTTCAAACCCCTGAAACTGTCAGGCTTCTCCACAGTCAAGCCCTTGGATGAGTGAAAGTCTTCTGGGAATGAAATTATATTGCATCTGTAACTGGGGATTGCTATAAGAGATTGTTTGCATATTGAACCTTTTCTGATGGTGATATAAAGCTTTTCCCTCTTTCCAGAGGGAACAGGGCCAGTTGATCCTTCTCAGGTCCAAAGCACATGAACTCATGCATATGTATGTCTATAATTTGACTAGCAAGGTAAATTGCACTCTCTCCTCATAGTGGGCATGGAAGAATGTCGAAAACTTCCTGCCCCTGTAGCTAACACTGAGAGGTAGAAAGAGAAAAACTGTTGTTTTAAAGCAACCAACACAGCCACTGGAGCACAGTTAAGGAAAGAAGGGGTAGGGAAGAGTAAAGCTTCTTACCTGGAATCCTTTCCCAATTCTGGAAGGACTAATGTCAAGGCCCAGAAAGATTCCTAGGACCAAGCCATGTTTTTAAAGTTCACCTCAGAATAATTAACCATACTTTGTACTTTATCTAGGCTTCTCCCAGAGAACTCTTCTGTGCCCCTAGCATAATTTTGAAGAGTGAATCGATCGTCTGTCAGTTTGGGACACAGAAGACCTTCAGAAGGCATGTTCTTCAAGATTTAAGATACGTTAGACTTCTCAGTTATCTGGTCTGTCCCAGGTGTGGCTACTGTTATAGTTAAACCATATAGCAACCCTATAAAACATTCCTGTTTTACTCAAGTTACAGATGAGGAAACTAAGGCTTGATGAGGCAAATAAAATTGCCCAAATAAATGACCATCTCGAAAGTTAAAATCAACTGTCTTGTTTCTGAGTTCTTACTCTCAGCTAATTCATTGCCTAGGAGTAGTAATTAATTTCAATATTAGTACAGATTTATTGATTTGAATTTCTAAGTTTTTTTTTCCAGTTTTGAGGATTAATCCCAAGACCTTTGAACTAAACTATATGTTGTTAATTTCTCTTTTTTTTTTAGACATGGCCTCCCTAAGTGCCCAGCCTGGGCCTTCTAGGGTGCTGTAGTTACAGGGATGTATCATTCATTACACACTAGATTTCATGTTTTTAGTAAGTATGTTGTTATATCATCCCTGCTTGGTTTTCAAAAATAATCAGGAAAAAGAGGGAAAGGGATGAAGGTCAAATTTTTAACATGCAAATGTAAACAGAGCTGCCACACAGCCACAGATGAGAAGTACTATACACAGGGTGTCAATTCCATGGGCATTTTCTTCTATTTAATAGTGTAACCAACCCAAATGGTTTGAAATATCCCCTCAATATCTGAGACTTCACTTCAGAAACCTGGGTGATGGCTGAGGCCCTCTTACAATTCTTTTGAGGAAAATAAATGGGTTCCTTAGGCTACCCTCCATGTTCCCCATTTACCTACACCTGAACAGCACTCACAGTCTAAACTCAGTTATTCCTACTTTTCCCTGGTGCCAAACAGAGCTTTGGACCCCCTTCTTGAGATGAGCTTAGAAATGGTGGTTGTATCCTCACCCCAGATAAAAACTGAGCCATGTAGCACATACCTTTTAAACTTGTAGATCAGAAATACAGCCAGGCCAAGGAACACCACTGACAGGAGCATCAGCATGGCTGAGCTGCTGTGTCCAGTACCAGCGTCCACCAGTGGGGCTGCAGCAAAGAGAAAAGTCTGGGCATAGGGAACCCCCTAAGCAGTACACAGAACTCGTCCTTGCAGACCTCCACAGCCCTGCTTGTGATCTGGGCACAGGCATCCTTAGCTCCCCCACGAGAAGGGTGTGCTTGAGAAAACTCCTCTGCTGTGCCCAGCGAAACCTGCTGTGCTTGCCATGGACTGAAAAGATGTGTGTTCAGCTTTAGGAAGCAGGAGAAGGTCTTGAATGCTTTTTTTTTTTTTTTAGATGGCCATGTGCTGACATGGCAGTGTGCTGGGAAATGGGGGCTAAACACTAATGCAGTGTTTTCCTGTTTTTCTACACTGTTCTGGTAAGATGCCCTGGATGGGTACATTTGGAATCTCCGTCTGAAAAGTGAGTTGTTACCAAGAACCATTTAGTAAATGAACTGTTCCAGACAGCCAGAAGCAGAAGTCCAAATGGACATGCCCTTTTTATTCTTTTCGTAGTGCAATCAACTTAGATTCACACATTACTGCAAGGCGATATTCAAGTTTTCTGATCCGACCTCCCAACTGAGATTCATGGGATTGGAGGATCAAAGAGAGCCTGAAAACTACCTAGGGTAATCCTGATTGTTGCAGATAATACAAAAATTTGAAGCTGAAGAAATGGCAGGTTTTGTCTGTTATGAGGCAAGATTCAACAGCAGAGCTAGTCCTGAAGGATCATCCTGCTATCTCTGTAGGATGGTGCCAGAGAGCCATGGTTCATGTCCCAAAGCCTTCATAACACCTGATGGTTCTGTTACAATACCACTTTCAGGCATTTGTGGAAGAGTCTTCAGAGATTTGCCTTTCTTTTTCTCTCTAGGACACACAGCATCATGCCCACTGTAATGGTTGACAAAATTGTGTCAACCCGAGAAGCTTAGAAGTTTAACCGAGAGACTCAGCAGGGGGCCAGCAGCCTCACTTTGTAAACATTCTGAGCCTGTGCAAGAAGAGGGCATGGGAGGCTGTGAGTGCTACGCCTGCCCTAGGGTGGGTAGCCTGCATACAGTATAAGGAAGGAAAAAGAGACTTGCTCTCCTTCCTTTTGGTTCTTGCTGCTTTTGCTATCTTCCACTACCTTGAACTTTTACCTCTGTGTGACACCACTCTGCCTTTGAGCCAGCTGAAACCTGCTGAACTGCAAGCAAATTAAATCTTTCCATCTTTAACTTTCAATGTCAGGTGTTTTGTCCCAGCAATGAGAGGAAAGGGACTAAGACACCCATGTTCCCTGACTCCCAATAGGCACTCACCTAATGTCAGCTGTGTGACGTACACAATGACCTGGACTCCTGGCTTCAGCTCAAACTGGACCAAGTTCTGGTTTAGGGCATTAAACAAGATTTCTACAATCTGGAAAACAAGAAAGAGGCTGCATGAGAAGACACGGTGTGTACTGATTCTCCTTTAGGTATTTGTTACCAAAACACAATAATCAACCAAGGACAGAATATTGGGACAGAATCAGGGCTATCTCCTAGGTTCCGTCCTTAGACCCTGGGAAACCAGGGAAGAGCCTGATATCATTTGCTTACCCTGGAGAGAAGAGACAGAAAGAGGCATGTCCATAGTCACCCTACAAACCAGAGCTCTAGCAGATGTGGCCCTTTCACTCAGCTCCTCACTCCATGTACTTTCCTCCAAGCCTTTCCATAATCTCAGGCCTGTTGTGGTTTCCAGTGAAAGAAACTGAACTCATCATTAGCTCTTTAATCTAATCAAGCAACAGTTACAGGGTGCAGAGTCCCCTGCTGGGATTAAAGCAGGCGTGTGCAGACACAGCCCATTCCTCTGCATTTTTATCTCAGACACAATGGGAGGCAAACATCTAAGCAGAGGCTGCCTCCTTTTTATGGGATAATTTTTCCTCTTTACTTTTCCCCAGCAAGTCTCAGAACACATAACATCGATTTAATCACTCTGTAATTCCCACATGAAAGCTGAGGCAGACTTAGGCTGTTGTCCCTAACTCTTATCTTGCTGTACGCGCCTTAATATCACAGCTGCCATTCATCACTGTAATTACCTATTTATCTAAATGGATGGATATTGTAGCTTCCAAATATAGTTCACGAATGCCGCTTGCTATTTCAGAATAAAGAGGCCTTGTAAAATGATGCGTGTGTGGAGAAGCCGCTTTTATTTCTGGCCAGCCTCACATGCAAGCCTGAAACTTTACACAGAAGCTGCTTCTTATGCTAGAAAGATGGATTGTGGCAGCAGCTGTCCTGCTTGAGGACTGTGGATGGGTGGAGGGGTGAGGCACAGCAAGTCCAGGCGAATATGAGAGACACAAAGGAGAGTAAGATGGTGACTTCACACAGGAGCAGTGCGCTTCATTTGTGCTGATTTTGAGTAGCTCAGCACCCTCTAGTTTCTTCTCTCCTGGTTGAGCACACTGGAAAGGTAAGGGAAAAGTGACATGGGATGCAGCCGGTAAGACCCAGAGAGCTGGAGAGGGAGGGGCGTCACATAGTCCTCTCCTGTGCTTTCAGGACCATGAGCAGATGCCAGGGACTCCATGCCTAGATGCTAAGTACAGTGAGTCACAATCCCTTCTGGAAACACTGCAATCCATTTCTCTCCAAAGAAACTTATTTAAAAACTGTTCATTTTCTCTCCAGAAGCAGAAATAAAATTGGCTAGGATTTCTAGGGTCAGTTCATTTCAAGATAAGAGGCACATATTCCCAATGAGAGGGAAACTCAGGTTTCTCTTTCTCCTCTCCTCTCTGTCCTTTCCACTCTGCTCTCCCTTATCCCAGCCCCCCCCCCCCGCCACCCCATCCCAGGATGAGTCATTGGAAGAGGACAAGAGCAAGGGTCAGGATGCCAACCATTGGAATGAATGATCCCAGGTACTATTCCTTTGTGTATAGCTGAATGCTTCTAGCTATTTGCATGAGTGTTTATCTTAGATGAGCTGATTTTTCTTCAGAAATCTGGGTGTTGAGTGAAGAGCCAGAAGCCGGTGTGTCAATGGGAGAGAACCTGTTGACTGGAAAGGAGCTTTAGTGAGTGGTGCAGGAACCATTCTAGCCTAGACGCCTTCACTTACCTCTTCCAGATCCCCCTCATGGCCTTTCCTCCTCTCTGTCACATTCTTGGGTGGAAGGATGAAAAGCTCTGCAGAGGTGGGGAGCCCAGGGAACACAGCAACAAGGATCTGATCTTCTGGGACACTGGTGACCTGTGAGGGGTTCAGAGCAAATCCTAAGGTCCTGCGAGGACTCCAGGTTCTAGTCTTCCCACACCAGAATACCAGGAACACAGTTTGTAGAGCAGGGGGCTCACAGGAGGTTTCTGCATTCAGCACTTAAGCACATCCAAGCTTCCTTTTGGCCTTCCCTAGAACTACTAGGCAAAAAATTACTTTCTTCATCCTTCCTGTACCCTTAAATATATTTTTCCTAAAACTCAAAAGTGTTACAAACGATTTTCTAAAAATTATTTGTTGGGAGCATTTGCAGACGTTCGTCTTATATTTTCCATTTTTCAGTACTAAGGGGATGAGTGTTTCTGGTTAAAACAGGAACAGACTGGCTGCCAATGAGAAATAAGCAGTTATAAACAAACATGGGAAAATGCAAATTAAAAATATAGCAGAACACTTGTTTTCCCCTGTTAAAGTAGTTTTTAAATTTTTTTTAAAAGTTTAGTGGTTAATACTAGTTCAGCTGCAGTAAGGAATTTCCTGGTTTACTGCGGCAGCACTAAAAATTGATACATTTTGCCAATTTGTTTTCTACAGGAGGTACTGTAATGCCATAAAAATAGTCACATAGTTCATTCAGTCACTGTAACTTGGTGAGATAGACCTAAAGACACAATCCAAAATATAGGAAAAGCCACATGCTAGGAAAGATACAACATTATTTAGAATAGCAGGTAAATAGAATTCCAATACTCAAAAATATATTAAGACAGTAGAATCACCTGAAAGAATCTTCCTCTAGCTGTAGCATAATAATGAGCAGTGTGAGGCACCAGAGAAAAACACAGAGGAAGCTGCATTCTGCTCAGCTTCTGAAATTCCTTTAGCTACAGTCTATTCAAATTATTAAATATATAGACAAAAAAAAAAAACCCCAAACACTAAACATTGTTAAGAGGCTGAGATTATGAGTGAATTTTTCCATTCCTGGGTGTGCAGTCAAAGGACTACACACATTGCTTTTATGACAAAAGCTTAATAGCTTTTATCTAAAGCAAAATTTTTGAAAAAAAAAAAAAGACAGAATGAAGTGAGTTTTCCCTCTGCTTATTTTTCCCAGCTGTTGCTGATCCAGAATGGACAAGGATGCGCTCTGGCTGGCATGACACTGGGTCTCACCAAGAGCTCAGGGACTTTCAGTCAGAGCTGGGAGGAGCCTTCTAGCCCTGCATCTACAAGCATTGAATCCTGTCCTAAGGAACAGGCCTGGGATTTATACCACCAAGACTGAAGGCTTAGGCACCAGCTGATGTGGCTATTATTCTTTAGTAGTGCTAGTGTGAGAATCAACACAGGACTCCTCAGAAAGGTGGTAAGCTTTAATAAATGCATCCATACAAAATACAGCACAATTGTAGATGCTGTGGTCAAAGACATACACTGTGGTCTGCATCTTTGTGCCCCTCATTCGATTCTTAGATTTGAGACCTGCAATACTGTGATGGCAATAGGAGGTGGGGCCTTTGGAAAGTGATTAAATCATGAAGGCGGGGCCCTTGTGGGTGGAATTAGTGCCCTTTTAAAAGAGGCCCCTAAGGACCGCTGTACCCTTTTTCTGCCATGTGAAGACATGGTGAGAAAGTGTCACTTATGAGTCATGACATTCCATCTTCCAGTGCCACTGTCTCCTATTATCTAGAGTTATGAGACGTAAATTTCCTTTAGTTGGTGTGAAGGACCAAATCAGGGCCTTGGCTTGCTGGCATGCACTCTCCCATCAAGCTACGAGCCCAGGCCCCATGAAACCACACACTGGGGCAGCACACACTGTAGTATCAGGTGCGCTTTCTATGAGCAATCTTTTTATACAGTGATTTAAAGTTGCTCTGGCGGTCAGTGCTTACAGAGTGCATTTAGTTTTACTTCCTCTCTGTCAGCTCCTCCACTACATCTTTCCCTGGGTCTTCAAGCTCTGCTGTGGGGAGCGCTGTAACTCGTGACTTCCCTGATCTCACATCTCCCTGGGGAAGCCCCTGATCTCCAGAGCCTCGGCTTTCAAATCTGGGCCTCCAGCATGGACATTTGCTCCATGTGAAACCTATTTTTCACCTCTGAGATCATCGTCACCCAGTCATTTCTCATGAGCTCCAAGGCATCAAACCTCAAATCATTACTGTCCCTCAGGCAGGCTTCTGCTACATGCTCCCCACCTTGACTAATGGTCAGGCCACATCCTACCCGCTCTCGGAATCAGAGGACTCCCTCCCTGACACACACGGCACCCATCAGTTACTGTTCCATCACCTCACTTCTGAAAGTCCTTCCCTCTCTCCTCCCCAGGCCCTCATTATCCCAGATCTAGGTAACTGCCAGTCTTTTGCGAAATGTCTCCCCATCCTGGGCCTTTTCTCTCCACTCTCAGCAGCTTTCCTTTGGTACTGCCATTGGAATGGGTGTCTACAGCATTTCTGTACTTACACAAAGTGTCACTGCCTACAGAATACACAGCAAGCACTGTTTAGCTTCTCAGACCCTTCACTATCAGCCTAAGTGTCCTAGCAAAATGTAAGCCATGCTTATCCTTAAAGTTATACATTAGCCCCACCGAACCCCACACTTTCCCCAACACGCACTCCTTCAGTGATCGCATTTGCTTCACCAGGCTTGCATTTGCTTCACCTGGAAGACACCATCCTCTCTTTGGTAAGGGACATATAACCTTTAAAATACAATTCAAATAGCCCCCTCCAAAATCATTCTAGTAGCTTGATAAGTATTTATGAGCTGTAAATTGGTGCCAGGCTTGCCCTTCCCTCAACAAGGAGAATCACACGTCTTCCCTGTTCCTTGGAGACCCTGGCCATGCCACTAACGTAGAGTTCATTGCACATCAGACTCCTTTTTACATTTAAATTGAATGCATTTTGTTAATCATTTCAGTTTATTGTGTAACTCAGAGAGTGTTAAAAAAATCCTTTTACTGTCTCTTAGGCAAATCTGGTTACTGTCTCTTAGGCAAATCTTTTGGTTAATTCTACACCCCTGTTTATTGTCCTGAAACCTTTGGGATGCTGGTGAGTCTAAAAGCCTGGGGTATTCATAGGTAAACAGGCAGCTGACCACATATTAGCCCATCCATCCATCCATCCATCCATCCATTCATCCATAAAGCAATTATGTTCCTGTCTCTGCAATATTTAGAGTAAGTAATGGGCCAATTTCCATCTTCAAACACTAGAATGGACTTTCTCCTTTCCCCCTATTGCTCCCTTCCTTCACACTCTCTGTTCTTTTCTTTCTCTTTTCACAGAGAAATAATCCTTATTTATCTGGAAAATAGTGATTTACCTTATTGAAAAAGTGCTGCTGCTCACACCATCTAGCCCGTTTATTTATTTATTCATCTTGCAGCTTCTCACAGCCAACTTACTTTAACCAGAGCTCTCTTGATGACGTTGCTGATGTCCTGCCTCCACTCGGGAATGTCAGGGTTGTGGTAATCCAGGTTGGGAGAGAATGACAAGAGCTGGGACTGGAAGTACTCTGCAAGGAGACAGAATGTGTCAGTGAGAAGGGCGAAGGTGGCAGGGCCGGAGGCTCTGCCCCTCTGTGGCTGAGGGAGGGAACCAGGCTACACATCCAGGATACTTCAGCTACCGCTCCTCGTTCTCAGTCTGCATCCCGGCTTCTGGAAGGAAGTGCAGACTGGTGACCGGAGTAGGTCTGAGCCTTATCTAGCTCGGTCTGTCCCTCTGTTCTTCAGCCTCCATTTTGGTGAAGGACACCGTCTGAGATCAAAGTAAGCAAGCAGTTGCACAAGGAGGGTTCTGCTCCAGTGAACTGACCTCTGGGAGCCGCCTGGAGGGCTGGCAATGAGGACCTGGTTGGAAAGGGGTTCGCACTTCTCGTTCCCCCAGGTCCTGTGCTCTCTGAGCTCCAGACTGCCAGGAGTAACAGAAGTAGGGTGCAACCTTGTTGCTATGGTATGGATAATGTTCAGCTTCTTAGCCGCGCTGGGGAGTACACAGGTTTATCCACTTTGTGGGAATCCATAGAGTTATACACTTGTGATCTGTATAGTGTTTTGGAATAAGGTTTGTAACTTCAATAAAAATGTTTACTGAAAAAGAAAACTTTGATGAGCCCTACAAAGGATCCTAATGGCAAGTTTCCAGAGAGGTAGAAATCACCAGGGTCAAGCAGAATATAGCTGGGGTCAGAGGCTTCTGTATCTTAGTACAACTTTCTAGAAGACCACAGTGACAGAAGCTATGTCCAGGTACCTGGGAAGGTTTGTGGGATGGTGACAAAGGGACAATCAATGTCACTTAAAGTAAATTTAGTAATGAAGAATGGCTCTCCTGGATTGAGTATGGGGGTGGGGCGGGGACTCTATTACTACTTTCTCATATCTATCTTCAAGCTTATTATCAAGCTTACTGTCAGGTTTTTGAAACCAATGGTGTTAGAATTTCTAACAATTACAAAAATGCATCAGTTTTGTGTAGGTCTTCCCACAGCTTGTTATAGTCCTGCAAGGGCAAGGATCATGATTTCCTCAGAGGTGGAAATCACTGGTCCCCAGCACATGAAGAGTGCGTCTATAAGTGCACTGTAGATGCCTCAGCAGGATGTGAGATCCTGCTCTCTCCTATGACAGTCACCCAGCTTAGCATGGCTTCGAATTCTGATACTGCCTATTGGGAACCCCACAGGACACAAGAAATGCCAAGACTTTCAGAATAAATGGTCATTATCAAGAAAACAGCAGTAACAAATGCTGGCGGGGCTGTGGGAAAGAATCCTTTTCCACTGTAGGTAGGTGTGTAGACTGGTGCAACCACTGTGGAAATCACTGTATAAAAACTAAAACTAGACCTGTCATTTGACCCAGCTCTTCAAGAATTAAAAGCATCATACCACAGTGATATATGCACACCCATGTTTATAGCAGCACAATTTGTGATAGCTAAATCTTAGAAACAGCCCAAAGGCCCATCATCAATTGATAAATGGATAAGAAAGATGTGAAAATTTTTAACACAATGGAGTATGACTGTGCCATAAAGAAGGATAAACTTGAGACATTTATAGCTAAATGGAGACCATAGTTCTAAATGAAATAAATCATTTCACACATATTAAATACTGCACACATATTTAAACACTGTATTGTTTCTCTGATGTGTAAATAAAGACCAAGATATACAATAGATGTTGAGAAATGGGAACAAAATTTTCAAATGAGAAAGGGAACAAGGGAGGGGGTATGGGGAAAGGAAAGAAGGGACAAAAAAAGAAAAAGAGAACAGAAGGAAAATGGAAACAAAGCTAATGTAAATAAACAGGGGAAGTAGGTTTACATGAAGGCTAAGGGAATGAAAAACAAGGCAAAGCAAGATACATCATTTACAGGTAGAAATCTCCCATGATGAATGCCTTCATCATGTACATTGAAAATATACCAATAAAAATATATTTTAAAAAAAGGAAATTGGTGGGCAAGAGAGCATTGCAAGACACTTTCAGGGCTCACCATGAACGGCGATGTCTTTCGTGTCCTGGATGAGGGCGTTTCCAGCAGCCACCTGGACCGTGATGGTGTTGGTCCCCTCGGCCAGGAATGTGAAGGAGATGCTGCTGTCCAGGGTGATGAGGGGCTGCAGGAAGGAAAAGCCACAGCACTGCTTAGTCCTGGGGAGCAGGGACAAGACTCCCTGCCTTGCCTATGAATCTCAGGATGTCACAAATCTGCAGAGCAGACTATCCCTGAGGGATTCAGACTTGGATTCTCTTTATTCAGGTCCCTAACACTAATTATTTTTCCAGGGTCTAGGAGAATATTAATACACATTAGAGACATGGTAAATTGTTAATCCTGAGGAGCAAGGAGGAGACCTAATAGTTTAGATTTTTCACGTCATTCTGTTCTTTCTCCTGGGGCAAAGTAGCAGCAGCTTCTGGAACTGCTCCTCTTGGCTCTGGGAACAGATCATTTCTTTTCTTCCCTGATATCTAAGGTCATTTGTATTTTTATCCTGTATTCCCTAGTCCAAAGGACCTTTCAGAGAAGTGACAACATTTTACTCACTTCTGTATCCCCCACTCTAGGCACACTGTCATTCATATATATTGTACACATATTTATTTATTTACATTTATTTACATTTATTTACATTTATTCACATTTATTTACATATGTGAATTAGATGCGCGATCATACTGTTGGCTTTGTTTTGCATCTGTTTTCCATTGTGACACATTTTACCATTTTTATTAGGCTAGATAATATGCAACATAACTGTAAAAATGTTTTTAATTTTTATTTCCTGTTTCTCTTTCCTGAATATCATAGTTAGAGACTAATCAAAGTTAAAGAGAGACATAAAATAATTGTATTTTTCCCTGGAAATTAAGATCTTGATAAAAGCAGGTGCGTATTACGGGAAGGCAAGTCTTGAGATTGAGAATCACTGTCTGGTGGTTACCTGAAGGCCCAGGTTCTCCCAAGTCCTCTGTTGTTTAGAAGTAAGACATGACAGCAAGAGCCCAACCCAAAAGAGACCACAAAGAGAAGCCACAAGCACCTGACCAGACTCAGAATGATCTCAGGAGAGTGAATGATGATGCAGCCAGCTGCCCTGGCCGGGGAGGAGTGGGCAGCGCTCAGCAGCCCATGCACGGCTGGACAACACCCAGCATTTGCAGGGGCTCCAGGAGCCTGTGGTCATTGTTCCCTCTGCAGCACTTGAGTTCCTTTCCAGCTCACAATTTAGGACGTGACTTCTGAAATAATAATTTGATTTTTCCTCCAGATTTTAAAACTCTTTAGCTCTATTTTATAACCAGGTGAATGGTTGGTGCTGGGCAAGATTAGACACTGCCTTAAATGTTGGACACCCTTTACTGTCTGCTTGCTAAGTTTAAAAAAGGAGGGGAGTGTGTAAAGATATGCATGCTCCCCTCAAAGGTCCAAGCGTTTTTCTCTTCACATGACTCAATGATAGTACAGACAAGGAGACACCCCCGAATCACAGAGATACGGTGCAGACCCTGACACCCAAGACTGCTTCAGGTCTTGCCTGGACAAGGAGCTGCAGTCAGGGTGGGACTCACACAGTGGCTGAGGACCAGAGAAAGAAAACATTTGCCCCACATTGCCACCCTCTCCAATAGATCAAGAAGAGTAACTTAAAATTCTGTCTGTGTTACTGTGTTAATGAGTGACCTTGGGCAAAGCTGTCACCATTTGGAATCTTTTTCTTTATCCAGGGTAAAAGGTCCCAAGAACTTGTGACAGAGTCTGAGCGACTGACAAATGGCATTAGGCACAACGATCTCTAGCTCCCTCTGGTCAGCCCCTCAGGTCTCCCTGCCAGAGGCCTTCAGTTGCTTCAGCTTTACTTAGGTCCTTTGGAAACAAAAGGAGCTACCTCTATGCATCTAGCATGATGGCTAAAGGCTTTTAAATGATAATACCACAGTCTTATAAATATGGAGCAAATTAGAATTCTCATATGGTTTTGCTGGGTATATAAAATATTACAGTTACGTAGGGAAAAAGTCAAGTTTTATAAAAAGTTGCAAGAGCTGTTTTCTTCTGAAGTGGTTGCACTATTTTATGATTTAGCAATTGCAATTCTAGGAATTTAATTAATAGAAAAAAAATCAAGTAACAACAACAGCAGCAACAGCTCCAGCAGGACTGGGGATGGAGCTCAGTGGTACAGGCTTCTGCCTGGCAAGCACAAGGTCCTGAGTCTGATTCCTGGTACCAAAAAAAAAAAAAAAAAAAAAAAAAAAAAAAAAAAGAAAGAAAGAAAGAAAAAAAAAAGAAAAAGAAAAAACAAACAAAAATAACTCCCAGCAGCTTATTTGTAACACTTAGAAATTCTTCAACAGAAAAATAAAAGCACTATAGTATATTCATACAATTAATAGAATAAAACAGATATGTAAATGTTTATATTTGTATTTACATATTTACATACACATAATTATGTATACACATTTATAATTATGTATATGTACATACACTATAAATACATATATATATATATATATATGGATTCACAAACCATAAGTGGTGAAAGAAGCCAATTAAACCTTTATGAAGTTCCAGTACAGGCAAATATAACCTGTAAAAATGTAATAGTGGTTGTTTTTTCTGGGATTAGAAGTGGAGCCTAGCCGAGCGGGAACACAACAGACCTGGCAGTGTACTATCCCGTGGCAGGAATCTGGAATGTATAAGCAAACACCTTTGCCAAACTTGGAAGTGCAGTGGAAGTTTGCACATTCCATTGTGAACATATTTGACAGCCCCATGATAAACTGTGGAGGAATCTTGAACTGTAGTTAATGATTCACAGGCTGTGTCATTTGAGACCAAGCACATAGGCTTCTTAAATTTATTTTGAAAGAATTAAAGAAAAAAAGATGGCTGGAAGGATAGAGGACTGGACAGATCAAAATGTGATAAAACGAGACTCGTAAATGTTAATAACAGGTGACAAGTGGTAGGCAGATTCACTGCCAAATTCAACTTCGGTGTACGTGTGAAAAATTCAAACTCAAATATGGGAAAAGTTATAACAGGAGCAATCAATGTGCATTCCATCACATGGTCCCTCCCTTTTGGTCCATTGTCCTCAGCTTTCTCTTATCTCATCCCTCCTGTCACAGCCAGGCATTTTTCTCCCTGAGGAAACTTTCGCTAGAGGTGTGCATGGTCTTCTCTCTTTGTACCCTTTTTATTTCAAGACTTGGGTGGTTGTGCTGTCTTGGCCCATGATTTTACGTTCTGAAAGGAGTGAAGTTCCTCTGGTATGGACAGATTAAATCCTCTCTCCATCTGGCTGTGTTCCTGGGCATCGCGGAGCATGAGGGCAAAGGGTTGCAGGACAGAGGGAATGCCATCAGAGATGGGCACATACCTCCAGACTGCTGGCCTTTCAGACCTAGAGCCACAGCTAACACACTGCACTGTGCGGAGCCACTTGGATGGTGGCTGGCCACAGACATCCCTGCTAAGGACACAGCAGAGGCTAATTCTCTTCTCCACATTGCTTTTGTCTTTCATCAGCAGTTATGGCAACATGGCTAAATTCATCTTCCCTGCAAAGCAAGAGTGCGCAATTGGATTCCTGAGTTCTTCAGTGGCCCTGATATCTGGTGCCCAATATTAAATTAAATCAAGAATTTTAAGGTTCATTTACTCAAATCTATTAAGCGAGCAGACATATTCATTAGGCTGAATCTCTGTTAATCCTAGCAGATTGGTCATTGCGAGCCCCCCACACCCAGCAGGCAGCCAAATGAGATCTCTGTCTCTGCTATGTCCAAGGCACAGGGCCAGTTCACAGAAAGAGCCTTGCAATCGCACTTCCCAGCCTGCTCAAGCTGTGGGTTACGTCCCTCCCCCTGAGGACTCTCTCCTGTGCAACAGTTCACATAGTACCCAACTGAGCCCGACAAGAGATCCATAAAGCTCTGTGAAACTCCTGGGTTATGCAATTTCCAATTGACTAATGGAACAGGTTGCTGTAGGAAAATATTTGAATGCAAATCATACCACTTTCCCAGGCAGAGCAAAATATGGTAATAATGCACATTATAGTATCTCCACATTGAAACATGTACACCTTGATAAAAGCTGCTACTCACAGATGGGAGAGACTATGCAATCTGTAGGCTTGCTTTACTTCAGCAGATTACATAGTGATGTGTGAAAAGTGCTTATTAAATGAATCAGAAGGGCAGAATACATAAATGTGGATATACCGTACTTAGAACTTAAATACTCAGAAAGCCAAGAAAGCAGAATAACGTAGAATAGCATTTATAATCACATGATGACTATGGGATTAATGTGAAAATTCACTGGTAAAAAATGATTATCTTCAATTCATATGTGTGTGTGTGTGTGTGTGTGTGTGTGTGTGTGTGTGTGTGTATGAAATATTTAAAAGCATCAAACTTCCTAAAGGACTGTCCATAAATTAGGTTTTCTCTTATCACCCTATCTTAAATCTGAGTTTGTATGAGACAGTAGGAAGTATACACTTATGTCATTCAAAGCTGTCTCTCCTAACCTCCTATCTTTCAGTTTTTCTTCCTCCTTCTACCGAAATGAGTTTTCACACAGCACAAGGATTCTCAAAGCCTTACCTTTACACGTAGACCCTTTCTCCCTCTAAGCCTCTACTCTACTGCTCCTTTGATGACAGCATCAGACCAATTTCATATGTGGCTGAGTTGGTGACACACAAAGCCTGCATCCATCACTTTCTGGGCTGCTTGACCCAGTCAGTAATGATACAGCCTGTTGTCTTCCCTTCTTGTGTCTTTTCTTGGATGTTAACCTTATGTTTTCAAACAGATTATATTTCTTGAAGGTAAAAAATGGAATTTACAGTGCTTTGTACTCCTCACAACATCTACTACACAATGCATCTTCTGAAAGGGCTCCACAGAGGTTCTGAGGTGGTCTCACATCCCCCAATGATAGGTATGTAAGCCACAGCTGGATTTCAGGAATATACGCTCTTTTTATTTACTTAAATATCTTACCCGTTCATCAGTGACTCATTCTTGTTTTCTCACCTGGAATGTGATCTCTTTGAAGGAAGGGAAAATAGCATATGTACTCTTCTCCCCA